CAAAAAACAGAAGGGTGACAAATTACAGGAAAAACCTGAATAAATGAGTGAAGACACATTATGAATGCTCCACACAGGTGCACTACCTGGTACAGTTAAACAACATCTAGTCATCCTCTGTGGCATGTTTAAAATCACTGAATAAGCCCAGTTGATTCTGGTTTTGTGTCCAGATGACCAGAGTAAAAGATCTAAGTGACTTTAAAGGAGGGCTCGTTGTTGGGGCACTGATGGCAGGGGATTAAGTCACAAACACTACCCAACTCTATCAGTAGGAAAAGTAACTGATGTCACATCTGTATTTAGATTTAAGGGACAAAGTGCTCCAGGGATGATGTTATTCTGTAGGTGAACACAAAATTTAGCATCACCCTGGTTCCCTCTTCAAAAAGCCTCTGAGATTTTTCCATTAATCTTGGATTATTGCCGAAAATAAAAAAAAATAAAATAATAATCTGTGGCAAACAAACATTTATTATTGTTTGTATTGTTGTTGACTGAGACAGTCCCAGAAATAAAAAAAAATCACACTATATGAGTTTAAAACACAAATAGTAAACATTCATATAAATAAAATGATTTAATTGTCAGGAATAAATCAGCACGAGGGTGTTTCAGCAGATTCTGTAACTCAACGGATTCTGTACCGGACGTTACGTCATCACGCTGTGACCTCGAACTTCCGCTAAAAATAAGAGGGTCAGAACCAGAACAGAGGGAGGCTAGTTAGCTAAAATAGAGAGCGACAAAAGGCGCAATATTTAAAGATTTATGTGCTCAGTTCCACTTTTAGTGTTTCCACACTCTTTACGTGTCCATATGATTTAGTTAAACATTATTTAACCGCAGTATTTCATGGTTGTTGTAGTTATCTCCGGACCAAGTCAGAGACTCGACCGGAACAACAAACCGCTCAAACCTGGTGAGAGGACGTGTCTGTAAATGTTTTATATTCAGTACCAGACTACCAGTAACAAGAGTTGGAATTTAATATTATATAATTATTAGTTTTATGTTGCTTTATACATTTACTCCACATCATCTCCAAGGGAAATATCGTACTTGCTCCACTACATCTATTCGACATTAGTCACTACTTTACAAATTCAGAATACTGATACAAAATATAAATCGACAAATAAATTATGGTGTATATTTGCACATTAAGCTACCCAGTAGTGTATAAAGCAGGTAAAATTAGCTGCACCTTTATTATCTGTAACATGAAAGTGATGAGCACATTCATCCATCACTAATTATAATCTAATAATAGGTTTTAGTTTTCTGAAGTAGTTCTACATGAGTACTTTTGCTTTTAATATTTATACTCATACTTTTTTTTTTAACTTAAAGTTCCCTTCCAGTCAAAGTGTGTAAAAAAAAACTCTGTGATAATATTTTGTTTGATATGGTTTTCTCACATAAAAAGCTAGAAAAACACTATTAAGGGGCAGAAAGCACATCTCCTCGTTCTCCCTCATACATCAGACTGGCAGTGTGCCATCCACAGTAGGCTGTCATCACCACCCTCCTACTGCAGGGAAAACAATCCAGCATCCTGCATAGACATCAACAGCATAAAAAGAGGAAGTCGAAATATGTTTCCACACTTTCACTTATTGATGGGTGTAGGCTGAAGGGACATGACTTAATTTATTAATGTAATATGAACGCTCAGGTTCAGGCAAGGTCACAGAACTATTATTAGACAATTAGTCTGTAAAACAAAAGTTTAAGAAGGAATAAAATAGGGCTGCACAATATCAGGAAAACATATGCTGACTTTGTTGAATATTGTGATGATGATATGACTGGCGATAAATATCAAATATTAAAGTATACAGTCTTAATGGCCTTCTGCTTTATGTTGGAGCTGCTAACATAGACCCCAGACAGTTAATAGTCTGTGCACACTGAATGAAACAAAAGTGAAATGCAGTGATGGTGATAGGTTTTCAATGTAGTGAGTCCCCGGGGCCCACATGTGGTCACTTGAGTGGGTCCCCAAAAATTGTTTTTTTTTTTTTTTTTTTTTGACAAATTGTAGTGTTAACTCATGTTTGGTGTTAACTCATGCACTACTGTGCATTTTCAGTGGGCCGCACACTGAGGAAGTAAACCGGTAAGCTAGAAAACTTCTTTGGCGTATGCGCCAGGCAAGCAACACCATAGAAATAGTTATTAAAATCTATATAAAGTCTCCTGATGCGGCTGTTTCATCCAAATCCTGGCTTCTGGTGCAGTGTGGCTCCATCTGATTGGCCAATTATATTGACATGCAGTGTGTGAATGCAGAGCACATGTCAATATACTGTTTATTGCAGTTCAAGCTGTCTTTTGCGACATGTTATTTCCACAGACTGGTTATTTCACATGTTGATTTGCATACAGACATGTCAAAATAATACTTTGAATTTCTGTCTCCCAAAAAGCGGCACAGCTCTGATGTCTTGCGATTTACCTGTATGTGCCAGTTTGATGTGTTGAGAAATTCTGGATTGACCTCTTGCCCCGCCCACCACTGTTGCGTATGCCAGGTTGACCAGTGAAAGAGGGTGCGCATCAAGATGGCTAGCTATAGAGGAAACTTCGGAGAGATTAAGCCATACATGTTTGAGCCCCCTTCAGAGCCAGACACAGAAGAAGATTCCGATGCGCAGCAGAACCAGCAACCAGCAGACGAATCAGAATGGTAAGTGTGTGTTAGCATCTTTTATTTGTTTAAGATGTTTGTTAGCTTGTAACTGACAGTGGCTGACACAGCATAAGTGTTTGTGAAATATCTGTTACAGTGTTACAGTGTGTTCACATTGTTCTTGGGTCGGCTAATAAAACACCAGAGTTTGTAGATAGATTTTTTATATTCCTTATAATAAGTTGCTCTGCACTGGAGGTTTCAGGTTTTTTGCTGACATTTGCACGAGACAACGATTGGCTTTTGTATTAGTGACATACGTGATCTAGTTTGCCCAGCATGCTTTTGAATCTCAGACATCACCTCCTTCAGCAGAGGAATGTGAAAGCACCTCTCCAGTGACAAACTTTGCACAGATACAAGTCAGTGTGGTCAATGTCAGACATTTTAGGGGGCATAAACAGAAGAAAACTTATTTTTGAGTGGAGGGGACTTTTAAGTAATATTTTTAATGCAGTGCTTCCTCATTGCGGTGCAAACATTACTGTAATTAAGTATAATGTGCTATCCTACAACCTGCTGAAACACACACAGGTGAAGATGGAATTTAATGTGTCCTTGTGTTTCTTTGTCGTCTGTTCAGTGAAAGTGTGCATCGTGAAAACCAGTCAGCTGAAAACGGAAAGGTAAATGTGACTGATACATTTCCCATACAGATGAGTCGTCTTTTAATCGATCCACAGAAAATTAGTTTGCCAGCTATATTCGATAAATAATTTCTTTCAATTATTTAAGTAAACACATCGGACATTCTCTCATTCCAGCTTCTTTAATCAGAAGATTTCATGCAGTTATCTGTTTTTATACCATTGTAAAATGAAACTTTTGGAGTTCTGGATGACTGAATGAACAAAAGAAGTAGCTTGAATATGTCACTTTTACACACTGGGGACTTCAGACAGTCATTTTGTGATATTTTTTTGGCCTGAACGATTCATCTATTTATTGAAAAAATAACCACCAGATTAATTGATAATGAAAGTTACTTGTTTTTTGCAGTGGGCATTTTAAATGCTATTTAAAAAATAAAAATTGTTTGAAAATGAAAGGATTAATAAAAGTGAATGCCCTCACTGAAAAATGTGTAATGATAATCTCCAGCTTCAAAGTAGTACCCAGAATAAATTGTGATATATCCCACACATGAGAGATTTACAGCTTCTTGGGTTTTTATTTTTCATTTAAAGCACGTAAACATAGCAGACATGAACATTATGCATACCTGATGTGTACTATTCTTAAAACTAAGTAATGTATCATTTTCACTGCCTCTGTCAGATGTCCTGCTTTTCGTGTTAGTGGACAACTTTAAGGCTGACGACTGTCTAATGCTGACCTCTCTGGCTGAAAGAAATTGTACGCTCCGATTAAAAGCTTTGATCATCATTGACTTTCATTTGAGTTTTGATCATTTGCGTTTATGATAATAAACTCATCTGCTTTGAGCGGACTTGCATCTTGCAAACAGTTTTTTTTACCTGTTTCACAGCGATTTAATGCTACTAGCTGATTGAGCTGATGCATTAAAATGTATTCTTTATTTCATTTGAATATAAAATATGTGTTTGTCATTTGTGAAGCTGCAGTGTATGAAATGTGCACATAAAGGAAACTGTTACCTGTTTTTCCACTGAGCAGTTTATTCAAGGTGAGGATGAAGAATTCAGCACCACGTTGAGTGTGGGAGACGGGCGCTACCTGGTTGATCTGGGGAGGTAAGCTGATGTTAATACACATAACTACCATTCAGTTTGAGGCTTTTGTTGTATAAGTTGATCTTTTCCTCACCCTAATCTCCTCTACTTTTACATACCTGCATTACTTCCACACTGTGTTTACAGAACACATTGAAACAAGCTCACTGCTAATCGTGCATTTCTCCGACTACCTCAGCCCGTCAGAGTTCATCGTCGATGAAGAGTGCATCATTCAGCTGTTCAAGACATGCAGAGAGTGCCACAGACCATGTCAGTATGTTAGAAAACAGGTCAAAGGATTGAAGCTTGTGGTGAACCAGGCGTGCAACTCCTGTCCAAGCACCTGTAAATGGACTAACCTGCTCGATGACGACGATGATGTCCAGATAAATGGAAAAGCAAACGCAGCACGTGGAAAGACCAGCTCAGCCATGCAGCAGTACTAGCTGAGATAGTGTCATGTCTTAAGTGACGCTCCACGCAGACAGTGGTTAGACTGAGAAGATGTGGAAGCAGGAAATTTGTTCTAGTTTATTTCCCCAACCAGTGATTGTGGACTGAGCAGCTGGACTTTTGGTCACAGAGCTGCCTCCGGTGGAGTTTGGATGTTTTTTTTTTTCTGGAATATCACAACGCTGTCATCAACTTCCCTATACGTTTTTTTTCTGATGCCATCACACACATCCGAAGACGACTGAGTGCAAGCAAGAAAGTAGTTATCTCAGCTTGCCAAATCTACAGCCAAGTGATTGGGAAGGGAGAATACTTGATTTTGATTGACAGTGAAGAGAGCGTTCTAGTGAGCAGATAAATTGCTGCTGTCGGTGTGAGAGACTGTTCCCTGGAAAGATGGACCGTTTTTTAAATTTCTTACTTCAAGATGTCATTAATGTTTTCCCATTGCCTTTCGTGTGCCAACATGTAGTTCCACAACACGCAGCTGTTCAAACACAGCTTGTTGTCAACAATTTTCAAGCAATATTAAAAATTGTTTTAATGACTCATCATATTCATTGTTAGATGTTGAACACAAGACCCCATTTACACCTGCCATCGTAACACACCTGTATCTAGATATGCTACCTGGGTAATGTATGTTAAAGCACAGTGTAAATGCATGCCGGATGCATTATGATTGGAATGACATCACATCTGGAGGTGGTCAGTTCTCATTGCAAATGGATCTCAGTCATGAGTACTTTCTGAAAAAAGAAATTGCCCAGCAAGTTGAAAGGTCACCAAACTCTCCCCGCTTTCCTAGACTTTGTCCACACATACACGGGTATATTCGGAAATGTAGCTTTTTCTATGTGTTTTGGCCTTTTATCCCCACAAAAACTGTGTTTAAGGCAACTGAAAAAAAAAGAATCTCTCTTTAAACTCTCTTTAAACTTAGTATCCTGGCTAAAGATGTTCAGAAACTCAGTTTTTAGTGTTGACGTAGACATGGAGAAAGGAGTTTTTGGCTTGACATAAGTGTGTTCACCATTATCTCCTTTGTCACAAATGTGGTGACCTTTCATGCTATGGTGGGCGTGACCATAAGAGAGCTGGCTCTAACCTTGCTTACAAGAAGTTTTACATGTTAACACATAAATGTACAGTTACTCTTCCACTATGTTGAGGACATCAACATCTTTTGTGAGGCTTTGGGGTTACAGTTATATTGACCGCTGTTGGTTTGATATGCTCTTTACAGCGCTTCAATTGTTTTATGTTTTCATTTGGACAGAGACTTTTTATAACAGTGCTTATATAGACCAAAAAAATTTGAGAACACAATGGACGTTTTCAAAACTACCTGTGTCCATGTGGACTAGGCCTTAAGCAAGCCTCGCAAAATACCCCAAGTTATAGTTTTGCTGGTTAATCTTTTCTTACTAGAAATGAATTTAAACTAATGGATGTCCATCAATGGTGTTTCCTTCTATGACCTTGGACAAGTTGACCCCACCCATCTAATTTGCATATTGAGCTCTGATCATGCTTATTAAGGTGTAAATACATAGGTACGTGGGTGGGATATCATCTTTAGTACAGCACAGGTATTTTTTCCTCCTCAATTTAAGAATTGATTTGATCTTCACACCTTCAATTTGAAATCTCAGCCTTCACGTTGCTTTCTTGTCATGCTATAGATGCCTTCTACAGGATCTGGTCTGTGACTTTATATCTTTGTGCTACTTCTGTTTTAGTATCAGCCTTAAACCTCAATTAATATAGTAAAACAGTGACCTGCACCTCATGCAAATAACTCAGGCCTTAAAGTGTGACCCATTCTAGTTGGAGGAGATGAGGGAGCCCACACATTTAATGGATGATGATGACGGGGCATTCATGTGTTCATTGGATACAATGCACAATATCAGTAGACACTGTTTTAACATTGCAACTCTTTGTATTGGTTTAAAAGTACCATGTGTTTAGTTCTGGCTGAGAATTAGAAACAATCACAATGGAGCTGAGGAGAAGGAGTCATGAAAGACTGATTATCATCGCCCCTGGTGATCAGACAAGACAACACCAGGTTAATTAAAAATCAAACAATATTAAAGTTAAAAAATAAATAATCCACTGGCATGGTTAAATCATTAAAAGAAAGACATCGCACATACACCAGGGAAAAATGGAAGTTAAAAATCATTCAGTGTGGGACATTCATACTTATTAACTTTGCATCAGTGGTCCCTATTTGGCAAGAAGAAGAACATTTTTTACTAATCGTTTGCTACAATATCAGCACGTTAAGACTGCACAGTGAGGGAGCCATTTTAAAACATTCTTAGTTATCAAGTACTAAAACCCACGGAAGAGGGGACTTGGTCCAAGGTGTCGTTAAGTTCAGGTATAGCAGCTGAGGTGAGAGGAAGAGTTAGCTAAATTAGCTAAAGCTACATTTTGTCGGAGTGTTTTCAGTTCATCAGTAATCATCAGTTCTTACAATGTGAATTTCCTCTTCTGTGCAAATCTGACGGAAGATGCCGAGGAGACTGTTCAGCCGCCAGAATGTCGTACCCTTAGTTGTGAATGGCAGAAACAAAGCCTTCTGCAGCATGTTCTTCTGATGTAAATCCATCCTTGGTTGAGTGGAGCTTAAAACAGCCCTGTGTCTCACATCCCTGCTCAGTGCAGATAGCTAGTGTTGTACTGGAAAGAAGCCATCTGGACCCGATTGCGCAGCCGCTGGACCTCCAGGTCCTGGAAATGGTCGTCCTCATCATTCTGAATGATGATCTTCTGCAGTTCACCAATCTCACGCTCCATCCTGGAACGCAGCTCTCGCTTCATCTTCAGCAGAGCCTGCAAAACAACGCGCAGGGTGTGGGTTTTTACTAAAATTGGTGAAACTGCATTTAAGTTTTGAGGGAAAAACAGATATGTTTAAGTCTGATTGAGAGTCGTGACAATGGCATAAGGTTAGATTTAAGAGCTGTGTGCATGTTCTGTCAGGTGGTCTGAAAAGGTAAAGGAATTCTTCACCAAAAAAGGACCATTTGTATATCGGTCAGTCATGCCCTGCTACCTTGATGCCTCCACTGAAACTGATGAAACTATTGATTAATTGGGGACCATGTTTAACAACAGCAAAACTATATCAAAACATTAATTAGCAAACTCTCACACAACTCATTAAGTATAATCCAAGTTTCATTTGCCCAGTTGTATGATCAGTACTTCCCAAACACATGCATTTTGGCTAAAAACCCTAAGTATTGGAGTCTGGCTTCAGGAGAGCACAGATACGTTTCACTTTCAGTTCAGTTTTAAATACTAAGGTTTAAGCAAAAATGCATGAGTTAGGGAAGTACTGAGCATACAGTCAGGTCCATAATTATTTGGACAATGATACAGTTGTCATCATTTTGGCTCTGTACACCACCACAATGGGTTTTAAATGAAACAATGAATACCTGCTTAAAGTGCAGACTCTCAGCTTTCATTTAAGGCTTTTTTCAAAAATGTAGTATGAACCGTGTAGGAATGACAAGCATTTCTTCACACAGTCCCCCAACTTTAAGGGCTCATAAGTATTTGGACAAACTAACATAATCATCAATTAAACAGTCAGTTTTAATACTTGGTTGCAAATCCTTCACAGTCAATGACTGCCTGAAGTGTTGGACACATAGGCATCATCAGATGCTGGGCTTCTTCCCTGGTGATGCTCTGCCAGCCCTTTACTGCAGCCGTCTGCACTTCCTGCTTGTGTTTTGGGTGTTTTGCCCTCAGTTTTGGCTTCAGCAAGAGAAACGCATGCTCAGTTGGATTCAGGTCAGATGATATGACTTGGCCATTGCAGAACATTCCACTTCTTTGCCTTAAAAATGTCTTTGGTTGCTTTTGCAATATGCTTCAGGTCAATGTCCAACTGCACTGTGAAGCATCGTCCAATGAGTTTTGAAGCATTTAGTTGAATCTGAGCAGATAATGTAGCCCCAAACACTTCAGCTTTCATCCTGCTGCTCTTGTAATCAAGACAAGACTTCACTAGAATAAATACAGAGGGTTTATCACAAGATGCAAACCATTGGTTAGCCTTAAAAATGGAAGGCCAGATCAGAGTTTGTCAAAAACCATCTAAAAAGCCTGTACAGTTGTGGAACAGCATACTATGGACAGATAAAACAAAGATCAACTACCAGAATGATGGGAAGACAAGAGAAGGAAGAAGGGAAGGAACTGCTCATGATCCAAAGCACACCACCTCATCAGTGAAGCATGGTGGAGGTATTGTTATGTCATGGCCATGTATGGCTGCCAGTGGAACTGGTTCTCTTGTATTTATTGATGATGTGACTGCTGACAAGAGCAGCAGGATGAAAGCTGAAGTGTTTGGGGCTACATTATCTGCTCAGATTCAACCAAATGCTTCAAAACTCATTGGACGATGCTTCACAGTGCAGTTGGACAATGACCTGAAGCATACTGCAAAAGCAACCAAAGACATTTTTAAGGCAAAGAAGTGGAATGTTCTGCAATGACCAAGTCATATCATCTGACCTGAATCCAACTGAGCATGCGTTTCTCTTGCTGAAGCCAAAACACCCAAAACACAAGCAGGAAGTGCAGACGGCTGCAGTAAAGGGCTGGCAGAGCATCACCAGGGAAGAAACCCAGCATCTGATGATGCCTATGTGTCCAACACTTCAGGCAGTCATTGACTGTAAAGGATTTGCAACCAAGTATTAAAACTGACTGTTTAATTGATGATTATGTTAGTTTGTCCAAATACTTATGAGCCCTTAAAGTTGGGGGACTGTGTGAAGAAATGGTCGGAATTCCTACACGGTTCATACTACATTTTTGAAAAAAGCCTTAAATGAAAGCTGAGAGTCTGCACTTTAAGCAGGTATTCATTGTTTCATTTAAAACCCATTGTGGTGGTGTACAGAGCCAAAATGATGACAACTGTATCATTGTCCAAATAATTATGGACCTGACTGTATGACTGGACAAATGAGACTTGGATCATACTGCACGAGTTGTGTGAGAGTTGGTAAACCGATATTTTGATATAGTTATGCTGTTGTTTAACTTGGTCCCCAATCAAATCAGTATGTTAGCCACGTTCCGTGGAGGCATGTGAGAAAAACAAAGTTCTCTTCAAAAATTCCAGGCAACACGGCATGACTGAAATACAAATGGCCATTTTGTGGGTCAAGTGTTTCTTTTAACATCTGACCCAAAAAAGTTTTCGTGATTGTCTTTCCTAATCCAAAGATAGAGATAAAACAAACTTGAACAGACCCAACAGCAATTTGAAGTGTGCCTGAACAGATAGATATCCAGAAAAAGTGGTTTACCGATGTGAAGATCAATGACCAGCTTAAGTAAAACATGTCGCTTTCTAACATTAAACTGTATTCAAGTTGGTGATTTGTGGCAATTTAACTAACTCATTAAAGACTTGTTGCATGCACACATGATCAGCAAGGTCTTTCCAGAGATTTCTAATAAAGTTTATATTTTTAACATTTTTTGTGACAGCAATAATGAGTAAAAGCTTTACCTTTTCTTGAGCTTTTTTGCGAACCTGGATCTCCTGTCGCTCTTGTGCAAGTTTTTCAGCTAGTAGTGAAAACTAAAAGAGAGAAAGCACATTGTAGCTGACCTGGAATTTATGAGTAAATGTAAAGGCCATTTTAAAACAACACAAATTTGTATGTGTGTCTTCCTGGTTCATGTATAAATCTGTGTGTGTGTTTGTGCCCTACTTGGTCTTTGTAGTAGTTCTCCATGGACTTGATCTGGTCCTCATGTCGTCTCTGATGTTCCAGTCGCTGCTCCCTGGCGTAGGCTTTCTGCTCTCTCAACTGGACTTTCTGTAGCTCCAAACCCTCCTCAAACAGCTGTCGAAACATCTACAGACACGCACAACCACACGTCACCCAAAACACTAACGCCAGATGATCACACAGTCTGTAATTTAACATTTAACTTAGTAATAATGATCAACATCTGGTTTTATTCCTGATTCCTCTCAAATGCAGAAGATGGAGAGACTTTGTAAGACAGGGACTTAACTTGCCTCATCAATTTGGGTTTCAGAATAGATGGAGACAGAGTGCATCATACTATGAAAGTCACACCCACTGGAGGGGAAAACAATCAGCACCATAATATGCAACCATGGGCTGAAACACTTACAAAATGCCTGTAGCTAGCTAAAAACATACCACTTCAGCATGTCAAAGGATTATTGGCAAAAACCTTGAGTTCACTGAGTCCTTGTAGTTTGTGGGAAACATCAAAATTGGCAAACATCTGCTGATTTCAGCTTCTAAAATGTGATGATTTGCTGCGTTTCTCTGTTTTATATAATTGAATTATTTTTTTCGGGTTGGCAAGCAATTTTGATTTGTTGCAATAAGCTGTGGAAAAATTTTACAATTTGTGACATCTTCAATCTTTTGACATTTTGTCAACAAAAAAATAATTGAACAGGTTTGAAATGGGGGCAAAGTTATGAATGGCTCTCACTACCCACCCTCTCCTCCTTGGTGCGTGCCCTCATTAGGCGGGCACGGTGCTGGACGTGGTAGTCGTTGTGGTACTTCTTGGCACGTGCTATCTGCTGCCTCTGTTCCCTCAGTCTGTTCTGGGTCGACTTCTGCTGCTGGATACGCTCTTTGAAGTCCCTCTGGAAGATAAAAATTTTTAGCTTGCAGCTGTCCAGCTTGGTGTGGTTAAGTCTGCCTGCATGTTGTGCTCTGAGCTGTAATCGCATTCTATACATCCTGTGTAACTTGTTGTTAAGAAGGTCACTAAATGTAAAGGGACCTACTGGATGTGTGTTTAGATGTTGATGCTCACCAGACGCCTGTTGTGGTCTTGCTCTTTGCGAATGATCTCCACCAGCAGGTCGTGCTTCCTCTGAGCTTCCTCCACCTGGCAGATGAGCAGACGTTTACATATTCATCCATTAATCCATCCACCAATTGGTACATTCCAGCTTTTAAAAGGGTAGAGCTAACAAAGTCAGTCATCCAATGCACTTGACAGACCTCTAATGGCCACAGTCCTACCTGGCTGGAGAGTTTGCTGCGACGCCTGCTATCAGAGGATGACAGGGCGTGGAGTCTGTCCACCTGCTGCATCTGCTGCTCCCACATCCGACCCAGTGTGTGGGGGGAGATGTGAAGGTAAGGCCACTCCTCCAGGAGCACAGGGAGAAGCTCATTCTCCTTCACCTTCACTGGTGAGAGAGAGGGAAACACCAGTATGATTAAAACGCATTGACATCACAGACTTTTTTTATTTGGTTGTGACAACAAAAACAATAACTTTAGTGCCAGATGTTGTCTTGGGAGGAATATCAGAAACTCTGTTTGCATATTTATAGCGGCAACTGACATTAATGTAGCTGCAGGTAGGGATGTCACCAAAGCTGTCATCTTTTTTATGGATGATCGATCAGTGTTGAAGGTAAATGTAGTCAATTGAAGCAATAAATTCCTTAGTACGTGCTGTATAGGCTGTGCTGGCAGTGCCTACATCAACCAGGGTGCATTGCACTCAAGGTTCTGACGCCCAGCCCCCAAACCATCCCTAGACGACTACAACAGGGACATGCGGTCAGAGCTGATGGAGGGCACCTTCATGAAGTCGCTGGATAGTTGGACATTTTGGCAAATTCGCCTATTGCCGTAATCCCTATAGTCATATGAGTAGGTACATTACCTTTAATTGTCAGTGCCTGCTGTTCTGAGATCGGTGGGACAGAGCTGCCTACTGCTCAGCGCACAAAATGGAGGTGAGTTGTACGGCCCCCTCTCTCCCTCAAAACTAATCAAATACACCATCAAATGACTCCAAAACGCTCTTGTGGACAACACATGGCTTGCGCATTCCCCACGCTATGAAATNGACTCCAAAACGCTCTTGTGGACAACACATGGCTTGCGCATTCCCCACGCTATGAAATAATAATGTATAATTAAGTAACATTACGACACATGAAGCGAATACTCGGAACTACTTTCTTGAGTAAACCACTGGGCGGAGTGACAGTGCGCACCTGAGACAGTGCCGTTGTTATTGCTTGCAGCCTTGCATTTGCGGTATCGTCAGCTGGACGCAGCAGAAAGTTTGAGAAAAGTTTACAGAGTGTTTTTGTAAATCATGGTTTACACATGTATTGTAAAAGATTGCGGTAACAAGCCGAAGACATGGAGCAGAGTGAAGTTTCACGTAGTACCAACCAATAATACGGACAGGATGAAACAATGGCTATTTGTGCTGGACATCGACCCCAACACGCCTGTGGAAATGGTCCGGAAAATGTTTGTGTGCTCCAGCCATTTTTTACCGGAGGACTACACTGAAAGGATGGAGCGCAGAAGCTCAGGAATGGTTCAAACTCCTTTCTTGAGAGACACTGCCATACCATCTGTCGGCATCACTAAACGAGCAGACGTGGTAAGTGATCGTTGTGTATTTTGCTCAGCAATCTCTCTGCTGTAATGTTACCTCCATGTTGAGTAACATTAGCCTACAACCCAAGCATGGTAAATAAGGCTAAAATGCAAATGTTGTTGTGGTTATATTATGGATAAGTGCTTGCCCAGAGCATATAGTGAAGTGACTGGCATTACTTCTCATTGTTGGGAATAAACAGACTGCTAGGGAACATTTTATGTTGTTGTTCCCTCAGGAGTTGTGGTGATTTATGAGTGTGGAGTTAGCATGTTCTCCCCGTGTTCCGGTGATTATTTTGAGGCGTACTCTCGTCCCATCCCACCAGCAAAATATGCATGTAACATACAGTCACTGGCCACTTTGTTAGGTAACGTTACACCTGTGTAATCTAATGCAGTCCAGTAGAACAGCTATACCATGATTTTTCCCCCCAAAATGTATATATTTTCAGTTATTGTTGACATTGTCTAGAAAGTGAAATCACTCCGCCCAGCAAGTACTGTATGTCTGCCTCACCGATTTCAGAACAGGCACTGATAATTAAAGGTAATGTACCTACCCATATGACTATAGGGATTACGGCAATAGGCGAATTTGCCAAAATGTCGAACTATCCCTTTAAGTCAACCGCTGTACCCGACCTCTTTATGGGTGACAGCGACCACGGTGAGGAGGAGTCCCGGGAGAAGGAGGTCCTAACTGAGCTAATCTCGCTAAAGCTAATGTTGGTTACATTGAGTGCACAGCTAAATTGTGTCTGTTTGCACCCATGCCATCTGTGTTTGTAGCAGTGTCACTCCAAAATCTAAAATACATAGTTTCCGTCTAGCTTGTTTTGGTGTGTGCTGCTGAGTGTTGGAGCTATCCGCTGTAAAGATGTCTGCCTTCTCTCAAATACAATGCAACTAGCTGTAACTCGGCTTGTGGTGCTAAAAGGACCAGAAAAGTACATTTGGAAAAACTCAACAGCAGTGTCTGTCTCCAAAAATCATGACTCGGTTACTCAAGATAATCCACAGACCTTGTTGTGAGCAGTTTCATGTCGGAACTATTTTCTTTCTACCGAACTACTCCTGCCAACCGTATCACCGCGCAGGAGGAAGCGTGCATCTGGGCTCGTAATAGTGCGGGATGTAAACATTAATGGCGTCCTCCTCGCTTCAGCTGCAACGGTAGCCAGTTAGCTCAGTGGTGCTAGAAGCATCAAACTATTAGTTAGAATATTAATTGTTAGTTTGGTAGCGGATGGACAAGCAAGTATGGGTCGACAATGTGCATTTCCCAACTGCAGAAATCGACAGAAAACTTGGTCTGCGGTTAGTTTCCACAAGCTACCGTTAAATGAACCGAGCCGCTACAAGCTATGGCTCCGTGCTCTAGATATAGACCCAAACACTCCGAGGAATATCCTCCAGCGTCGTTGTATATATGTATGCAGCGACCATTTTTCGCCCGATGACTTGGTCCACTATAAAAGCAGTACCCATCCGAAGCCCACTGCCATTCCTGTCAACAGTCATACCGCGGACCAGACCGCTGGTGGAAGCGCTAACATGACCACATCACCGGTAAGCTACCTTTTGTAGCTAGATAGCTAGCATAATATTCCAACAGTCGGCGACTCACACCACGGCAGTCTAGATTTATAGGTAAGATGAAAAAATAAATTTTTTATTTAGCGGTGGAGTGTGCTTTTAGATTGAAACATGCACACTGGATTTATAATGGTGGCCCTGAGGGACATGGAGGGGGTGTTAACTCTGTGTGTAGTAGTGTATTACTTCAAGTCATTGTCATCAACCAGGTGTCTGATGTTTGTCTGTGTTCTGTCCTCTTACAGCTGCATGACACCGGGGCAGCAGGTGAGTCAGTCAATGATCCTCACTATCTATTGTGGTTTACAGGTGCATGTGGGATTAACAGATAACACTGTTGGTGCTGGTTGCTGTGGTGTGCATGGGACGGCCTTGTTGATGAAACACAGACGATCAGTACAACGCATTTTGTTGACTGGTCTTTAGATATATGGAAGAGACGGATGTATTCATGTGCAAACAGTTGATCAATCACACAATGTCTTGTATGGAAGTTTCTGATGTTCCTTATTCTGGTGAAGACAGTTTGTCCGGCCATCGTTGGCTGCTGATGTAATGAAAGTTGTCCATTTGAGTCCACTTTATCATAAATTTTGTTTTCTGTGTGGTTGTAAAGATAACTCACTACTTCAACTTGACACAGTTTTGACTGACCCTACTGATATTGATTCACAGACATTCAAGAAAACACACCAGAGGCGACAGGCTCTGCAACCAGGGAGAAGTAAGTCAGCAAATAACTTTGATCATCTACCCCTACTGTGCTAAGTAAACCATGTAGTTTAAATAAAGGCAGCTCTGTGATTCAGTATAGTTCTGTAGTAGAGCTTCACTATAGCCCATTCAGTTACAGTGATGCAGCTTAAAAAAAAAAAAAAAAAAGAACAGTCCTACTGAGCTGTTTACACAGCTAATGAAAATAAGTATTTCACTAATATTCCAGTTTAGATGCAGCCCTGCATATTCTGATTGACGTGCCCCTAACATAGTGTTAATCGCATCAAAATATGAAAATGTGGAACAGCTAGGGCCACTTGTACCATTTTGCTTCTTTTCTTCAAAATAGGATTTTTTTCAAACTTTTCTACCAGCGGCAGACATGTTTGACCATGCAAACACAGCCTCCCTCTTTCATTCCTTCGACCACCTTCTTGTAAGGGTTTGTGTTGCGATATTTGCACATATCCAAAAACCTGCTGATATCCAAGACTTTCATACTGTTTAAAAGTAGGTGTGTTTCTTCCTCCGACCAGAAATGTGGGATTTTCTTTTGGGCATGCATTTACACCCCAGCCTTGCAAACTGATGGCTAAATGGTTTGTGTGCAGTGCATCCATCAGGAATAATAGTAGAACATCACTGTGTATGTTAATGTAGTCGGTCCATCTATAGTCACTGTTGTATGTTATACGTTTCTGCCTCTACAACCCATAGTGTCATTATCATTTCTTGGCTTCCTTTCTGCCCTGTAACAGACCAGCTCTGCAGCACATTGTTGATGAGGAGGCCATCCTGCAGCTGATAAAGGACTGCCCAATGTGCGACAGAAGGTGCCGCTGTACCAAATTCACTCGTGGCCCTTACTTCATAGTCTACCAGAGCTGTTACTTTTGCAATTATCAACGCAAGTGGGCCAGCCAGCCAGAAGCTAGAGATCTAAACATTCATAAGGCACAAGTAACACCCAAGAGGAAACAGCAGCCAAAGGACAAGGCGTCTGGAAATGCCAAAGCTGCATCATCAAAGCTTGTTAAGACACGCACTTCCTCAGTCTCAGAGTCTCAGGACCCAGTAAAGACCAAAGGAGTCCCGTGTCAACTCTGTCTTGACCATGACTGACTTACATGAGTCTGAAATTGGGCATGATCACAGTTTCAGATGTGCCTTATGGTGGATCATTGTCATGCAGTTGTAGATGCTTGATGATGATGACATACAATTCTGTAAAGCTGTCTGTGGATATGAAGCTTCAGTCCAAAGTAATAATGTTTATATTGCTAACAAGGGACACATTTAGAGCAGAGTAGTAGTAAGCTCGCTAGTAGGAAGAAATACTACACCAGAAATATGCTAAGATGCCATTGTGTTGTGGAAAAAGAACATTTGAATACTAATCATAATTATATTATCTAGAAATACAAAAGAAAGGTCCATGTGGAAAATATAAAAGACTTAACCTACTTGATGGAGCTTTTCTAGGGGCCTCCTGCCATCTCCGTCCTGGTGTGGTTTGTGTGGTACGTTGTGACCTATGCTGGGCCTTCGTTCCAGCTGGGGACAGTCTGGGAGCGTCAGAAACATCCCTCAGTATTGCTTCTCTGTACTGGCGCTCCTGCACACACAGACACACCGAACTGTTAGTAAAGTGGGACAAATGGCCAACAATCACAAGCACTCAATAATGTAAGTAATTTGCATTTTCCACATTTTACTCTAAGTTGACTGCCTTTTTTTTTTTTTTTTTTTTGTTGTTGTTGTTACAATGTCCATTTAATAGTTGTCTGTAAAGCAGTAGTCGTCTCCCCTTTGCCATTTTATACAAAGTTTATGCCAGTTTTTGGAGGTAAATTGGTGTTTACAGATTAAAAGTTAAATTGAAAGAAGAAAGATCTTCAGTTTCCACTGGAACATATCAACAAATGAGGTTCACTTTATATTATTGCAGTTAAAGTTGATTCAGGAAATGTTATTTTTGTTGGAATGCATCCTAAAGTCTTTACCATGTTATGATGCACTGCATTTTCTATAAATACATTAAAACCTTGCATTCTGTCTGAACAAATGTGCTTTCATTGACTGTATTAGTGCATCATAGGCTGCACAAGCAGATATAATAAGATTGTGTTTGACTTGTTTTATGTGGAGGTGTTGTTTTATAATAGAGTGATGTAACTCATTGTGAAGTTAACTGTTTGATAATCATGAATTTCTTAATTTCTGCCTGTATAACAACTTATTTAGAGTAAAATCTGATCAATTGGTCAGTGTGTTCTTTCTCTTAAAGTGTTAAAGTCACTAATTTAAGGGAAGTAAATAAAACAACCATGGGCAAGCACAGAGCTAGTAGAGGCAAACAGCACAACTGAACTGTTCTTTTAAGCAGCAGCTGCAGTACAGAAATGTAACCAACAAAATAATTTCCTCGACTAATATACTGTTTAACGACTTTTTTTAAAATCGTGATGAATATTAAATCAATATGAGAAACAATAAGTTCAACTTTAATGACTAAAATAGTGATTTGATATAGAGACAGGAGGGGGAGGACTGTGAGTGGGATCTTTATCGTACTCCTACTACACTAGACATCATACTACATCAGACTTACGGCTTCCTGAGCTTTGAGGCGTGCCTTGTCTACATCTGCCCGTTTTTTGTCTTCATATCTTTTCAACTCCTCTTCATAAGCCTTATTTTCCAGATACTGAATAAGAGAGAGAGAAAGAGAGAGATGCATTTTAATTTTGTTTATGTATATGACATGATGAACAGATCAAAAGCAGCAGTATATCTGAAGATATTTTTTTAAGCATAGATTTTAAATATCTGAGTAATGAAAGAGCAGAAACGACTGAAAAAAGCAGGCAAATACACAAAGTCTTGATGAATCTCCTTGCTCCTGTTTAAAATTTGCAAGGCCCTGTTCAATCCAGGTTAAAAAAAAAAAAAGAAGGCAATTTGGTGAGCAAACATGATATTGGTTGGAATAATTATGTCTCAAATCAGGATACAAAATCAGACAAATAGAAATTAATTACTTCAGCTTTAAATCAAAGATGTTGTAGATGTTTTTAATTTTTTAAACTGTTCAAATTTACAGACAGTTTTTAGACTGACTAACTTCGACTTGATTCCCTAAACTACCCTGAACTATTGCTACAATCCTCCCAGTCAGGTATCAATGTAACATTAAAATCTACTGAGCAGTCTGCAAACTAAAGCCAAATCATATTCAAGTAAAATGCTGTTAATTTATTTAAAATACAAGAAAAACACTAAAAGCAAATTCATGACAACTGATCTCTTATATCAGTATATTCAGACTGCATTTAAAAGGAAAGCACTAAAAATACTATGGTAATACCTTTCGATGTTTTCTGTGAGACTGTCTGTGGTGTAGCTCTCCTCGCCTCGAAGAATCCGAAACGGCAAGGTTGGTTTGTCTCCCATCATCCAGACTCAAGGCTGTGGCACCTTCCAACTGTCCCTGCATGGAGTGACGGACACGTGGAGGGGAGGGGGACAAGGAGCGTGTCCGGTGGGGGGATTCAACGTCGGGTGTTCCTGAAACTAATAAATGTCACAATTCAACACATTCATGTTTAGTTTAGATTAGATTAGATTAATGTTGTATTGGTATGTTAAATAAGGCAAAATGCTAATTTACTCGTGTGTTGTCTCGGAGTCCTGCGACACTCCATGATGCTGTCACTGTGGTGGGACTGCTTGTCCTCTTCTCTGACGTCACTGGACTCTCCACTTTCACCCAGAACTCGTTTGAGCATCTACAGAAATTACACAATGTTGCAAGTGTAAAAGAAAACGTCATAAGTGCACTCACTACATTTTCTGATGGCTGTAAAATCAATTGACCATAACCACATGGACATACATTTACAAAATAAAGAGGAGGCAACAAAGCAAGCAAACACACACGCAGAAAAGATCATAATGACATTTGCCTGGATACAAAACAATCATGGCAGTATGCTGGGACCTTATGTAAAATACACACACCTGATCAAGTTCCTCGAGTCGATGGGAGAGGTTCTCAGATAAGTGATGCAGCTCCTCTTCTGCTTTCTTGTTCCTCTGTCTGCGATACGACAGAGGCTCCTCTAAATCTTCCTCCTCCAACCTGCTACTGCTCAGGGAGACAAATACCACATTACCACATTGTCTCTGCATAATGTCAGTGAGGACATTTTATTCCTTATTCTGTAGCTTCCTACTGTTCTCTGGCCATTCACATTTGGCCTATGACAAACACACTTGTACACGCAGTATCGGATATGGAAGCGCATGGATTGGGACCTTGAGACAATCACTGCCCATGGAATCGTTGTCTTGTGTAACATAAAGGGCATGTCGTTGTGCAACCCTGTATTCTACAATGACAATACATAAACCTTGAACTCCACCTGTCTTACCTGATGCCTCTCCTGTCTCTGTGGACTACCCTTCTGTCTGGTTGTCTTCGTGGATAACTCAGATCCTCCTCATTGAACTCTTCCTCCTCAGTGTCTGGTGGAGAAGGGGTTGTGACCGCCATCTCATCCTGCAGGTTGAGGAAGAGCACATCTGGCTTTGTGCGAAATAAAACCCGCCTAGGGCCCCCATTAGTTGGCTGAAATTAGACAAAAAGAGAATCAAGTTAACTCGGTTAACGTAAAGTAACACATAAAAGAAAATAAATAAATAAAGCAACAAAAATATGCAGTATTGGTGTATCAAAAATAATTTCAGGTCCTTCTGTACTTTTTTTTCAGGAAGAAGTTTAAAAGCTTTCTGCCTAGATGTCCCCAACATTTATTACATTATAAGTTATGCACAGAAAATCTGCTCATCAGTCACTTTAGAGAGACTGTAAATGAGCCACTGGCAAGAAATTCAAGTTTATTTTCCAAGTTAACATTGGACATAACTAATACTGTATGTCAATGCATGTCAGTTTATCATCCTGTGTCCTCCCTTTTTAACAGAGCAGCCAGTGTGAACACACACAGATCCAAACCTGACCCTCAGCTGGGTTGTTTATAAGGGTTGCTGGAGATGACATAATACTTAAACAATAAGTACCAAACATGTCTGCGTGGTTAAACTGATGCAAGTGAGGGTTTGTTGCTCTCTCACCTCTATTGTCTCTCCCTCCACTTCTGTCCCAGCTCTTTGCTGACTTGACAAAGATTTCTCACTTGCAGCTGGAAAAAGAGCAAAACATGACGTCAAGACCTGAGTTACACTTCAATCTGATGGGGAGATTTTTACATATTAGCCATCACACTGGCATCACAGTTTAACAGTCATAATTCATTCAGCCATAACTATCAACTCAATCACGTGCTACCAGTCTTATTTAATCCCATGATTTGTGATGCAGAGTCCAAGAAATCAAACAGTTAAACCACTTGATATTTTGGTCTGAGTAAGAACGAAGGTAAAATTTTGTTTTACTTACCAGGAGACTGGATAAGAGGAGGGGACTGTAGTCCATTGGTAACTACTGTCTCAGGTACAGGTTTAGAGCTCTGTGTGAGAAAGACACGAGGCTTTCAGAACATATTGTCACTTGTGATGGGTTAAGTCACTCCAAAGAGAGAAGAGGAAAATCTGGTGGCTGTTGTTGTGTACTCAGTTACAGAATCAGGCCATAGGTTAAGCTGTTTGTGTGTGCAAGCAGCCACACAACATCGGGCTCTTGTGCTTGTCACAAGAGGAGAACCTGCCATTAAGTACGCACGCTGAGGTGTCAATCAGACGCCACTTAACGGTTAAAGTTATTTACTTAAAAAAGTGCTAAATATGTGTATGTCTGTGTCTGCTAGAAAAGGACAGTTGTCTTTAAAATGACAAATTTTCTTGGATTCAATACACATTTGTTGTGTTTTCAACAAAAAATATTTTAAAAAACAATGCATCATTTTTAACAGGGTGTTGCCTTCCCTTGGTAGCAAACCTTTCTTTAAATATACAAAGATCAGGGTTTGGTTTAGGTACATTAAACAATCTAAAAAAACATTTAAAAAAAAGCTTAGGCATAGGCTTACTCATACACAGTGAGGGTGCGGCTGGTCGTGGCTGTAGGCCAGAACAGGAGCTGACCCATAAAACAAACCCATATGTGTCTTTCAAGCAAATGGACTGTAGATATTTAAAAGACTTTCACTTTAAATTGTCCGTTAGAGGTTATGTAAGTGATTGTCAGTACGGTACTGTTACTGTGAAAAGTTTGGAAGTCTGAAGAGCAAAACACATGAGCTTATTGCTAAGTACGAAGTCCTTCTCTCTGTCATTTTCATTGAGTCAGCATACTCTTATTGCTCCTACAGAGCACTGCAATCACTAAAATAGGAAGTGTAAGTGAAAGTGTTTGTGTGTGACAGAGAGGCGGTCTTGTATTGCCTCTATAACTTTGGAGAGATAACAAAGTTTGCATGTCTTTTCACTGCATGCAAATAAGAGGTAAGGTGACTCTAAAACAGTTGCAATTGAACCTCATCATACTGCATTGTAAAGCTACCTCTGTGGTGACAGGAGCGGCTTCTTCTCCTGCATTCCCCTGGCTAAGGCCAGCAGCTGTTTGGGAGTGGCTGGGTGAATGTGGCTCTGTGTCAGGTCGGTGGGGGGTGTCGCTCTGGTTGGGTGGCTGCAGGGCGATGGCTGAGGGCAGCGGTTCAGTCAGTGGAACATCCTGAGCATCCAGAGGACCAGAGGTGGTGACTACCTCTGAAGTTTGGGGAGGGACAGCCGGTCCTTCGAGATTACACATGAGATTTATTGAAAGAATGTCACAGTTACAAGTTAAAAATATTTGATAATAGGGTGTCTTGGCAGCCAAAGGATTACTGCTAGACCTACAACGATTAGTTGATTAATCTATTGGTCAATAACAAAAAATTAATGGGCAACCATTTTGACAATCAAGTAGTTGTTTGAGTACGTTTTTAAGCAAAAAAAGCTAAATATTTGCTGGGTTTAGGCTTTTTAAATGTGAGGATTGGATGATTTTCTTTGTCTCACATGATAATAAACTAAATAGCTTTGGATTTTTGGGCTCTTGGTCAGATAAAACATCATTTTGGAAGACGTAATCTTGGGCTGTGGGAAATTACACAGGGAATGGTTCACTATTTCACATTTTATTGGCAAAACAAGTATTCAAGAAAATAATGGACAGATTATTTGATACAGAAAATCATTCTTCGTTGCGGCCCAAATGACAAATTGAAAGCCTTTAATTTAACAATATTAACAAATCAAAATATAAATGATACCTGAAAGCAACATGATGTGACAGTAGAAACATGACTGCTATTCATCTGCTTTAAGTGGACAATGTTATGCATTGTCTGCCAAACACTGTCTGTTGATACTTCATTGTATGCGAATATCTTTGTGGTTTACAGCAAAGCCACACAACCGGTTAGGTAACTACTGTATATTGTGACAACTAAACCAACAACTTTAATCAGAGCATAATACAACATATGCACCAACATTTTCAAAAAATCCTCCGTTAAGGGAACATGAATTCCTGACAAATTTTAATGTCACATTCTGGTCACAAACCATCTGGGAAAAAACAAAAACAAAAAACATGTATACCTAAAGACAACAAGGCATTTTGCCCATACGCAGTTAGAGTCACTGGGCACAGATGAGTTGTGTTTGCCTGTCTTACCTTCTTGTTTGGGGTTGAATGTGCGTGCCGAGACTCCCAGCCCGATGAGCTCATTAGTTGATCCCATCTCCTCAGTATTCCAGGTATGGAGGGAATGTTTACTGGAATGGACAGCGGACCTGAACAATAAGACATGAAAATATTTACAACAAATTCACAAGAGTACTTTACATTAAAATGATATACATTTACTTTAATATACTTGGTCTGAATTCATCAAACCACAACTGATTCAAACAGTGGAGTTGGCAGATTTTTAAGTCGATGAGTAAACGGCACCAAATACATAAAAACCATTAGTCTTGTGCGTTAAAATGTGACTTTACTTTATCTAAGCCTTGTCTAAGATTGGGTCAGTCATGGTAGTGTTGCTGTTAGAAGCCATGCAGTGTATGCTTGTACACAGACACAGCATAAAGTTAAAATCTTCACAGCGGGAGCACTGATTCACTGAGTATTTACCAGCTGCTTACCTCTAATAAGACACAGACTGTATCAGTGATTCTTCTGGTACTTTCATTACAACAGTGCATACATTTTATATTTCAATAGCTTCAAGTGTTCTCCACATCATGAATGAAATAAATGTATAAATAAATACACCAGCAGTGCCACAACTTTCACCCCCCCCCCCCGGAAAAGTAAAAAAAAATTAAACTGGTAATCACACTGAGCTGCACAAACATCCCTGTTTGAGTCAGTATGTTTGACATAGACCCACTAACCTCTTAATATTTACACTAGCACTGCAAAGTTAGCTTAACAGGCTGTTGTGTCAACAGGAAGTACAGCCCGGATCTGCTCCAAAGCTGAATGACTGTTACATGCTGTGGTATTGTGTGTTGTAAACATTGCATTTTTCCACCCTAAAAAAAAAAATCCTTTTGGAATATTTTTCATCCCAGCTTGATTTTGTTGTTACTCCCTTATCCCCTGGGCCATGGGGCGTGTAATAATGGCATGGTCGCAGTCATGTGGGACAAACCTGACTGTCAGCAATGTCCTGGTTTATGGGAGTGCTCAAAACAAACAGAAGAGTTATTATTCTTTTGCTATTTTGGAGAATTTTTATAAATTTTTACCATGCATTGCCCTTTCTTCATAAAAGAGCAAGCATTGTATAACTGTGACGTCCCAAGTTTGAGTCAGACAAATACTTCTATGACTTATGATCCTCTCTCTCTCTCCCCATTTTAATTTCTACTGTCGATTATTAAAGAAAAGCCAAATTTCCATATGAATATTCTTTTTGAACATAGTAAAAAAAACATGTTAGTATGAATATGTTCACATAAAGATGTACTGTATGTATATAAATGTAGATGGTTATTAGTATTAACCTACTTAAACACAAGTTTCTAAGACTCTGATGCACTCCCTTTTCTTTTCCTTACAATGATAACCTACACTTGTTTCAAAATCATAGTTGACTTTGCCAACTGGAGCCCACTGAGTAAAAATATCACCATGATAAAAACCTAAAAAAAAACCTCCATATTGTACCTCCAATGGAACTCATATTGTGTGCAACATGTGTTGCTTAGTGTTTGCGAAGTGTGTGCAGTGCATCTAGGAGAAGCTCTTACTCTCCACTGGAAGACTCAGATGCTCCATCCAGTTCAGTCTTCTTATGCTCTGTGTCATTGCAGCTTGTCGGCTCCTTGGCTGCACCAGGGAGGTCCTCATTGAGACTGTCATTCAGTTCCTCTGAAAAAGAAGATGACCAATAACAAACTGTAAAAACCACAACCAACGGCAAGGAAATGATTTCAACATATAATGACCTCTGTGGAATTTCAGAGAGGAACAAACACATTGACCTTTAATTAAAAAATGTGACTGACAAATGTCAGTGGTGAACTGCTCTGTAAAGTCACTGTTCAAAAACCTTAAAGACAAACCTAAAAGATTCAGCCAAAAAAAAGTGTGACAAACAACAGAGGCCATCTTGGAGTTTGTAATTCAAAAGCTGAATACAGCAACTAGTATATAAACTAAGCACTACAAGCAGAAGCCCAGTTTGTCATTGTTAGACACTGAAGATGGACACCACACACTATTAACATCACCACTGTTCAGATTAATAAACATTTCAGCCGCAAACAACCACTGACAGACCACTGTTAGCTTCTATTGTACTCAATACCAATTACAGTATTGCACATCCAGGACGTTTGAATTAGTTCTTTTCACATCATTTGGAAGTGCAGGCACAGTGGTCATTAACTACTAATTGCTGTTTGGCAGCAGTGTTAGGGACGGCCCACTCACACAAAGGCATGTTCAGCTCTGCCACATGAAGAGGGCTGACTGTTCTCTATGAAGTCCTGCACCAGAAGCTGGTCTTAAACTGGGTTTAGGACACATAATGTCTAGTTCATGCTGAAGGACAGACAGGCAATCTCACCTCAACAGAGACTCTGTCAGTAAAAAAGGAGAAGTAGCAGTTTCAGGCAAACTGAGAACACCAGCTTTCATGAAAATGGCCCTCAGGTCACAGCTCTGCAAATCCATTAATGATGAGGACGGTTTTTAATATGTTTAATGTTGACACCAGTTCTGATAATCTAATGTTTTGTATATCTGGTAATATAAAATACCGTTAAGCAACTATTTTGGTGTGCACCTGTGTTAATATTCTTTAATTAACATTACCATGGCACTGACTTTTTGAGTTACTGAAAGAGAAATCTTCCTGAAAATCATTTTGGAAAGTTTTGATACATTATCAAGCCTTAAAACATGTGATTAAAAATTACAAGTTACCAATCAACATGAACCACAGGCTGTCTGTTTGTAAAAATACAGTACATAAACAACTTTGTTAAAGATAGAAATGCATATTATCTGTCAAGTTAAAGAAAGTGACAAATGAATCTGCCTACCTCCATTCTGTGACTCCTCGCTTATCTCCTCCTTGAGATATTCCAGGAGGCCATCGAAGATTTCCAGGAGGTTCTTAGTGGACTCTTTGTCCCCTCTGACAACATTTTCTCCTGTGAACACACAGCCACCCTCAGCATTGCACTCAAAATTACTCATCACTGTTATTGCTAAAGAGAAAGGGGCACTGTAATTATGCTTGTGTTTTCTGCATACCCCCTTCAGGAAATAAAGAAATTCTACAAAGCATACACATCAAAGTATACATGCACAGGACTTAATCGATTTTGCTGTGAAGAGTGGAAATGTTTATCATACCTGTAATGTGTGAGAGACTGATCTGAAGGTAATCCAGGGACAGTGAATCAATCACAGACTGAACATTATGGACGTCATCTTCTTGACTGCATGGTGCTGCAATGTAATCTAAACACACACACACGTGAATTCAGCACAATACAAACAGTGAAATGAACACAACAATATGCATTCACACATTTCCTTGAACACTTTGGCCCTTCACTTTAGCGCTTTCCTTTACCTAACAATGCAGGAAAGGGCTCAGCGACATTAACAGTCTCATGATGGCATGTTTAATGGTCTTAGGAAACATTCCTGACATACTAAGCACACTCGGGAGATCATGTCCTAAACCCAAACCTCATAGCTTGTTAACCTTCAATGTTTTGTCCTTATGCTTGGAATTTAAATGACGTTGTTAGGTGACCAAATAATGGTTATTTTTCATCATTACTTACTCTGTTGATCATTTGCTTTATGAATCAATTAATCGCTTGGTCTATTGATGTCAGATGATGAAACATAAAACTGTATTCAGTGAAACTGCTTGTGTTGTCAGTAACAAATACTTCACAGTCTTCAGATATTCAGTTTATTATCGCATAAAAAAGAAGAGTCACAACTGAGAAGCTGAAAACAGAATAGCTGGCAATACTGCCTGAAAAATAACCAAGGCAACGATTTGCTAATCAAAACAGTTGCCTGTTATTCTTCTGATTGACCAATCTATTGATCAACCTATTGTGTCGACATGTGGTAGATCTGCTGCTTGTTCTTACCTGGAACTTTCTCCCCCAGGATGTTTTCATACAGCGCAATGAAAACATTTGCATCACAGTCTGTCAATTTCCTCAGCCTTAGGCTTATGTGACACTTGCTGAGTAGATCATTTGCCACATCTACCCAATCTGTAGAAAAAAAGCCAATGGTCTTGGTCATGTCCAAAGTAAAGTCTTTAAGCTGAAGTTTGAGTTTAGCATCTGGTGAAAGAGTTAAACAGAGTGCTCAGTAAAGGAGACATCAGTGTACCATGTATGAAGAATGGTTTTACTTCTAGTGAGCCCATCACAGTGACATCCACTGGTTATATATTCACAAACCAGGTTCTTCCTCTAGGGGTAATCATGTTAATTCAATCGTGAATGCCCATCCGCGGCAAACTTAAGTGTGAGAGCGGGGAGTCATCTCAGTCTCATACACACACTAGCTACCGTTATTACAGACTGGCGGTTTAGATGACAGAGCGTTACATTACGTTTACATAATATAATATCACCGGCCATGACTTTGGGTTGACAAAACAACAAGCAAACTACTGTCCAAAGTTACCTGCCCCCTTAAGTCACCTCTGACGTGTTTCACCGCAACTGTACCGGTTGAGTTAACTCAAAAGTAGCTAGCTAACGTTGCTACTTCGGTCTGTTTGCTAAGAGGAACATTGTCAGAAAACGTTAAACTGAGAGCCCTAATCCTAAAATAAAAATATATCTCTAAAATATATACATGTTCATACAATGACAGGCTCAGTGACCCCAGGAAAGCAAGGATAACCTGGCAGCTAACGTTAGCTTTGAGTTAGCGTTACGTGTCGCTAGCTTTCTCCGGACTGGAGCTCAGAGTCTGGGCTGCCTTACCTCTTTCTCCCTCCTGGGTGCCCATCAAACAGCTGTCGACGAGAGGCGGTTGGAGCTCAAAATGTACCGACTGGCTGGAAAAATGTCTCGTACAACCCACAGCCTCAACCCTGGCCTGAGGAGTTGGGTCAGTTTTGGTGTTTGTTGTGGGTTTCAGTAACAGGGAGAAGGAACTATCGTCTCTCATTTAAAATTGAAGTCTTGTGTGATTGGACGTTACGCTTTGTTTCCGGAAGTTCCCTTAGATGGGTGCGTACCGCCCCCTGCTGGTGGCACTGCGTATTACAGGCTTGTGCAGACACTCTCAGAGGGGCAGGTGCCCAAAGTTAAAAAGGAGCACATGTAACAATGTTTTAAAACTATAAATAAATATATCTAAATATATACTGTCCCGAACAGTTGAGCACATAACACCAGCGTACATGGAACGCCTTAACCAAGTGACTGGCATAGTATACAGGTACATATTCTGCACTGAGTATGGGCTGGAAGTCCCAAGGTCAGAATGGAAGACACCTCCTAAGGTGGTTGAAAATGACCAAGCTAAGATCCTGTGGGACTTCCAGATCCAGACTGACAAACGGATGGAAGTCTCTGTTGATCGACAAACAACAGAAGAAGGTAGTGGTGATAGATGTAGCAATCCTGAGAAACAGCAAATCGGAGCACTTGGGGCTGTGACCCCCAGACTGCGAGGGTGGCTCCAGCAGATTGCAGGCACAACATAACCTGTTGAGCAACCCACATCAGAACTTTACAACAAATGGCCTTATTTTTATTTAAATTGACATTCTAATATAATGAAATTATGAATGAGTTATAATGTAATTTGAAGTGACTTAACCTTTATATTTGCTGAAAACTGTACAGTTAAATCATATGAGCCTTTGTATGATCATGGTCAGGGTCATCCTTTCAGCTTATTTTATACCCCCCTTTTAAATAAAAACAGCACAGTAGAATAACTTCAAATTACATTATAACTGGATGTCACCTAGTTCACAAATTATTTTTTCAACTCACTCTCTAATAAATCTGCATTAATGTTAAAAAGTAACATGTTGATTCTGAACTAATGTTGAAGTTTAACCTTGCTACACCTATGTGTTACTGTTGATTGTTTTCTTTATTAAAGAAAGCCTTCTGCCGTGGAGGGTTTCAGCTATTAGGGCACCAACAGTCATGAAGGCAGACATGAAGAGAAATAAAGTTCTATGATGATTAAAAAAGCTAAAATAATGAACGGCTTTGGATCTATGAAAAGACAGCGGTCTTAAAACTTGGCCACCAAACTCTAAGACAACAACTGAAACACTGATTATAAACAAGCTGCTCATAAAGTGGCTCATTAACACAGACACAAACAGATAAGCCTCGACAAACACACACATTTTATTTGATATGAATCTATAGAGGAAATCGTCTTGGGTGTGCAAGTGTAAGAGATAGTGAGGTTGCTGAAGGGCGGAGGTGATAAATGTGTCATCTCTGGGGTAATCAGAAACAGAGAAGAAGAAGAAGAAGAAGCAGTTCAGTACAGTTCTCAGAAGACACTGTTACACATCTTTGTCATATTTTGGTGTGTTAAATATTTTGAGTTTTGTCTTCAAAGAGGAGGCTGAGATGACTTTGGACCATGACAGCGTGCCTGATGCTTCATCCAGGAGTAAGTCATTTTCAGTAACAGAGCTTGAGTTTGGAGGGCATCATTTTTATCAGAGTCAGGTGTGGGGGTTTTGATTCAGAAAATATCATAATTAGGCAACAAGCTACATATGAAGTTAATTTTTAATCTACTTAATGAGGAGACGATGTACAAGAAGTGAAATGAAAGCAGATCAGAGAACACAATATCACATCTGACTGCCTAATAATAATTATGGTGGTTTTGCATGTTTAATTTTCCGCACACAGAGGACAGACTCTTCAGACTGGTTGCTCTGAGCTTCGGACTCCTGTGTATCCTACAAGCTGCTGCCAACATTTCCCTGCGTCTTGCTCTCTGTGAGTGATCTTACACTTCTCTGTAATTTCACCCTGAGACTTAAATTCACCATCTCAACATTACAAGACCAAAGCTTGGAACTACAAACACACTTACCAGCTATGATGATTATGTGACATACTGTATAGTGTGGAGCCAACTTAGTTTCAGGAGTAATGAATTGCAGATGAAATGAACACAGCCCCACACCAAACTTACACATGCATACTGTATGGTGTGTACATAAACTAGAATTAACACAAGAGTAGGTGTCTTTTCCCATGACACCCTAACCTCAGTGTTGACCTGCAGGGTGGTGTCATATGGGACTATAGGTACCTAAGGAATCCAGTGTTATCGACCATATCACGCCACCTTCTTGGCAAAGACGAAGATGGGCGTGACCATTTTCATGGAGGTCCCTCGACCTCTCACCTCAGGATATCTGAATAAAAATGGGAGCTGTGGGTACCCACGAGTCTCCTCTTTACAGACATGTTCCCTTTATATTGATATGATGCAGTTTGGGGCAAAAATCATGCAGTATAAACATTCGAACGTTCTGCCTAATTTCTGCATCTTGGGTCCCTAAACAGTCTTGGTATTGAATAAATTGGGTATGAATGGAAATTTGAGACTCTCTTTTATTCAGTGAGCTCAGGTTTATTCATGTGTGTTGAGGCACCCAACTAAAACACAGCATTTATTACAGATTTTTAACTAGAAAAACTCGGCACACAGTGCTGAGCTGCATCTCAAATTCATCCTCATGTTCCCTGCTTGAGAAAGATGTATACCACTTATATGAGGCATATACTGTTGACCTGCAATCTCCCCAAAAAGATCCTTTGTCCCCCACCTAAAAAAGACAAAAATGGGTCCCGGAGGGTTAACTACAGTAGGACAAATGTATCTTTCTGCTCTTACAGATGCAAAAATGCTAGATTATGAGGCCATTATCAAAAATCTGACTGAAGAGGGAGAAGATTTGAAGAGGAAGATGATCACCTTTGGTGAGTACGAGGAAGAAACCTAATATATTCTCATTAACATGGGAATAAAAAGATGCATTATAAAAATGTTTTTCTACCTCCTGTTAGGCCAACATGTTTTTTTTTCTTATATTCGTATACTACTTCTTATGTGAACTTTATTAGCATCATTTTTATTTATCATTATTATTATTTTGCTTTCTTCAACAGATAATCACTCCCAACAAGGATGGGTGTATTTCAACCACAGTTTTTATTACATTTCTTCTATTAACAAGTCCTGGCAAGACAGTAGAGACGACTGTCTGCAAAGAGGTGCAGACCTGATCATTATCAACAGCAGAGAAGAACAGGTGAGTAATTTGGCTGTGAGAGAAAAAGGGGAGGTCAAATCAAAGGTCACTGAGGTGGAGAGTGGCTAAAATTGTAATATTTCATTTATTTTTTATATTGTTTTTCTCTCTGTCTCTCTTACTGTAAACAAGGAATTTGCAAGAAAGTTCAAAGGGCTCAGGTGGATTGGACTGACTGACAGTGAGACAGAGGGGACATGGACATGGGTGGATGGGACTGCACTGAACACAAGGTTCATAAATTCCTTTTTTATTAAAGATAATGATTAATAATGATTAATAATGTAGTATTGCTATATATTAAGGAACTAGTCTTCCTGATTGACCCTCCAGCCACCAGCTGGTGGCAGTACTGAGTGCACTGCCGCTGAGCAGCACTCCAGTAGGTGAGTGGGGAGGAAGTCCTGCACCACCTTTGATTTTATGTGTTGCAGAGGTGGAAATTATGAATCACTCAGCTTCTTCTAGGTGTTTCATTCAGGGCTGATCAAAGATTTGAGCAGTTTAACTTTCTTTAGGCCAAGCTGTTGCACCACTGTTCAAATAAACTTTAGTACACCTTGGGTCACCAAAAAACTAAAATTATTTTTTGTAATGCTGAAACACTCAGGCGACCCTCTTAGACTTCACTCCAGCTTCTTTGGTTGTGTTTCCTGCTAAGAACATTCTTTGATGTTTGTTTTCAGCTACTGGAACGCTGGGGAGCCCAACAGCTATCAAGGCATTGATGAAGACTGTGGAGAAATAAGGCTTTATGACAGGGAATACAACTGGAATGATTCACCATGTAAATAGCTAAACTTCTGGATCTGTGAGTAGGTGGTGGCTCCATGACTCAGCATCCAAATCTGCCCTAGACTGGCAATCGATAAGCTGCAGGGGAAGTGTCTCATCATCATGTACGAACACCAACATGTCACCACAGGAAAAACACAGGTGTCAATAATAAAATGAATGATGGCTAAAGTCCATGTAACTGCTTCACTTTCAGGGTCCTGGTGTGTTGGCTCACTGTCACAGTGTCACCATTTGTTGGGACACTTGAATAGAACAGAGCCATTAGTGTTACACTGTGCTTTCCTGACAAGTCAAAATGTCTGCTATTGTTCAAAAAATTAGTGAAGACAGAA